CCTCTCATCAATGTTGGATACCCGTCAACCCACCATTGTCCACAAGATTCAGGTAACTCGGCCGTGGAATCATATGGCAGTGGAGGGGAAGCCCTTCCGTGACTTCGTTGCTACTTACTTCTGAGAGTTCCCAGTAGGGCTGGACCCAAACTCCAGTGAAGACAATGGAAAGCACTGACTTCTGTGGGCTTGAAACAGGTAACTAAGGCTGTGTCCAGACTCAGGGGTTTTTTCGGGAAAAGTAGCCTTTTTCCGAAAAAACTTCACCTGCGTCTAGACTGCAGCCGCGTTCTTTCGAAATTAAATCGAAAGAACACGGCTTTTCTTTCGACGGCGGTAAACCTCATTTCACGAGGAAGAACGCCTTCTTTCGAAAGTGCTTCTTTCGAAAGAAGGCGTTCTTGAATGTAAATAGGGCTTCTTCGAAAGAGAGCATCCAGACTCACTGGGTGCTTTCTTTCGAAAAAGCGGCTTGCTCTTTCGAAAGTTCCGCGTGCAGTCTAGGCGCTCTCTTTCGAAAGAGGCTCTTTCGAAAGAAGCCTGCAGTCTAGACATAGCCTAAGCTCCTTCCCTGCTCAGGGGCTCTCAGGCACATTTCTGAAGGATTCCATCTTTTTCTTTCCACTTGTAAAATATACAGCTGAGCTCACTGGGGATAATGGGATATTTTAACCCCCAGCAATTACCAAATCTACTTCTCCGCTCTGTCAAACCCAAATATTGCAATCTCTGCTCTTCCTGTGCCTTACGGGTTCAAGGGTGTTTGCAGGAGAGCCAGCTACCTAGTTTAAAGTAGACAGCCTGGAAGTGAAGGTGATAGGTAAGAGAAAGCATTAGAATGGAAAGGCTATGAATATGCCTTCTACTGCAGATATATATCTGACCTTTACAATATCCCTTTTCTGTATCTGGGTCATATTATATCCATTGCTGCTTCTCAGTTGCTACATGACAGTTATGGCTTGCACTGTGTTGTCTTCTTCTATCAACACTTGGCCAACATGCATGGTCATTTCTCATTGGCATGGACCTTGTCACAATCATCTCTTCCTTTCTAACCCTCGTGCTACATTATTGCAATCTACTCTCATTGAAATGCACCCAAAGGTGCTAGCTAATACATCGTGCAGGAGCTCAGCATTTGAATGAGAGGAGCTATTATGAGCTCTTACAAGTACTTGGTACTCTGCCCTATTTTTTCTTCAGGTAACAGGGCAATTCAAAAGATATGTTAAGATCTAAGGATCCCAAAATGAATGTGGGCCCAGTAATCTGAGAAAGCTTCTCTCTCTACCTGTGTCCAGTCATGGTGGCATAATCTGTTCTTGTTGTCCGGTCCTGTGGAGGGTCTGCAGGATGAACTCCCCTCGAGGAGAATATCATCCCAGCAGCCCCTCCTATTCATACCGAGAGATCTCCTGCTTCTGAACTCGAATGTCATGGGGTTCTCACGGGAAGGCTCAAACCTCTAGAACCTGCCTGCTCCCACGACCCACCTGAACCCAAATTTAATGAGCCTCAGACTACAGTGTAAGATTCTGTCTATTCATTGAATCAGAAACTGTTTTAATTCCTTTATCGATCTCTCGCAAAGTATTTCTTACTAGTAACTTCCACTGGTGCACATCTGCATTCTTCATAAGGATGTTAAACCACTTCCCCTCCTGCTTTAAGTGCAGACCTATTGGGCTAGGAATTACTGGTCATATTCCACCAATGAGTAACTTACAAAGGAGATTTGCAAATTCGCACCTTGCTTGTGTGGAGGCAGGAAAAGGGAATAAGGGAATTTGTGTGCAGCCATCTTGGTCTTGTTAACAAGAGAGCAAGAGTCAGGCTAAGTCTGTGGCCTGACAACGCGAGATCTGTAATTAGACGCTGCCTTTGCCTCTCGCCTCCATACGGAGATAAGGATAGAACGCTGACTCTGGTAGGGACCTTGAGATAAGAAGCATCTGGGTGGAACTAAATAACTGTTAGCCATTGGTGTTTGTAATGGGAAGGAGACTAATTGTTATTGTTATTATATCTAATAGACAGTATATAAACTGCTTCATAATTGCTTGTATTCGAAGATCTACCTCGGAGGGGGGGGCTTCCCCTGGATGGTTTGTTAGTAGATTTTCCTTTTCTTATAGTTATGGTGG